AAAAAAAAAAAAAAAAGAGGTACCACAGATATATATAACAGTGTAATCACGCTATTGCATGCCTAATAAAACTGAAATTAGTATAACTCTGCCAGTATCAAGTTGCAGGTTTTAATACAATTATCTGTCACTATGGAAGTTGTGTTCGTGCCGAGCTGTCTCTGCTGGTATTTCACCAAGATTGGCCTGTCTTTTTTTATTAGGCTTCTTCTCCCCAGGTTTTCTGGATTCTGCTGTTTAACCTCTGGTTTCTCGTTCGTTTGCCTGCCCACGGGTTCTGTGCTGTGCTGGGCGAGAATCCTGCACTGGCACAAAAGGAAAATACAGGGAAAATGGCACTGGGCCTCCAGAGAGGGAACAATTCCGTTGTCAGGCACCGAAATCCTCGGGTTTGGGGAGCTGTGAGGTCACAACACCCCAGACTTGCCTCCCAAACCCAAACACCAACCGGTCCCGCTGCTTTTTCCAGATGGAAGTTCCACAGGATTCCTAAAAACTGGGGAAACTCTGCTCAGTTTTGGTTTTATTTGACCCCCTGCCCGTGCCTGTGTTTCCCAAGGGAAGCCAAGCTCTGGCTGGGAAGGAAACTCTCCACCATCAGGTGAAATTCCTGGTCCGTAAGTTCTGTTTGAGGGCAGAGCTGGGATGGGGGAAGAGCTCGAGTGGGAGAGGATCACAAAGCTGCCCTTCATCCCCCCTCGGGTCAGACCTGACCCTGAGGGGCAGCTTTGAAAGGAGGAGCAGACACAGGCACTGAAACGGGTCGGGCTTGGAATTCCGGGGCAGCCTGAGCTCCACAAGGTTTGGGAGCAGCTGCCTTGGATGCTCCTGGGCTTGGGCTCTGGCTCCAGCCCAGCCCAGGGGAGAGAGGAGGATTAATTCATTAACCAGCAGCAACTAATTGGTGGTAAGCAGTGAACTGAGCAGGACCAGCCAGAACTGAAATCACTCCTGGGCCCTGCAGTGGAAACACGAGGCAGGAGCGAGTCTGGGGAGAGGCTGCCGGGAGATCCCGGGATTCCAGGATGCAAATCGTGGGGTTTAATTTAGAAAAAAACCCCTAAAAATTAGGATAATTTAGCTGCTGAATTTTAGAACGTGATGCTTTCCACCTCCGTGCTCCGGACTGGGCGGGTCCCTCCCAGTCCCTCCCAGTCCCTCCCAGTCAAGCAGGGACTTCCCTCCTCCCCGATGGCCAGCGAGGGTTTCTGCCTGAGGGTAGGGTCGGTTTTATCGGTGTCTTAAATGCTCTGGGTGACTCCAGAGAAGGAATTCCCCCTTGGAAGTGGCTGCAGATCCGTTTAAATCCTTGTGGTTTTTGGGGTGGTTTTTGTTGCTTTTTTTGCTTTTGTTTTTTTTGTTTGTTTGTTTTTGTTTTTCTCTAAGCGATCGTGTCGCTGAAATTTTAGCAACTGCCACGAACTTTTTTCCTCCAAACATGCTTTCCAGCACCTCTCCCAAAAATCTGACCGGGACCTAAAAACAGCAACGAAATTCCCTCCCCCCTTCCCCCCCTCGGTGTGAAAAGCATGAGTGAGCCTCGATGATTCCTTTAGTTGCAAAGGAAAGATGAATTTCTTGTCAAGGAAACATGCTCAGGGTAAATAGACTTAGGCTGTCGGGCAGGTAGGAGTAGCTCCAACACTCTTCTGGAATGATAGGAAACTGAAGATGTGCAGATATTATATATTTTTAAGACATAAAATAAGACAGTAAGTGACAGCAGACTCACTGTAAAAAAAAAATCTCCCAGGTGTGGTTTATTCTTTACCTTTGTGTCTTCTATTGTAAAATGAACTTGGACAAGTTACAACTTTGTGTGGGGAAAAAAAAAAAAACAACAAAAAAAAACCACAAAAAAAAGAGAGGGAAAAACAAAACAAAAAAAAAAGGCAAAAAAAGCCAACTCTCAACCTGTGTGGAAGTGCATAACTGCTATCAGCTAACCTCCATCCTGTAACGCTACCTTGTATGTGGGATTTGTTAACGCACATCGAGCGTGCAAATAAAGATTAAATCACTTTATCCGCTGCCTGAGCTCCGTGCTGGGCCCGGGGGACGCTCCGGGCATCCCAAGGAACCCCCTTCGCTGCTCCCGGGGAGAGCAAACACCGGGACAGACCTCGGGGAGCCGCGGGAGGAAATCCTGGGGAATTGGGGGTGGAATTAAGGCGAGCCCGGGGAAGGGGAGATTTTGGGGGGACAGAAGGACGGGGAGGGATCGTTTCCGAGGGCCTGGAGGGACAGGAGGAGGGGGAGCGGCTTCCAGCTGCAGGAGGGAAGATTTAAATCAGCTGTTGGGAAGAAATTGGTCCCTGGGAGGGTGGGGAGGGCCGAGGTTATTCCACGGCTGTCCCGTCCCTGGGAGTGTCCCAGGCCAGGCTGGAGCAACCCGGGATGGGGGAAGGTGTCCCTGCCCATGGAAACGAGAGGATCCTCAAGGTCCCTCCCCACCCAGCCCATCCCTGGGACTGTCCCAGGCCAGGCTGGAGCAACCCGGGATAGGGGAAGGTGTCCCTGCCCGTGGAAACGAGAGGATCCTCAAGGTCCCTCCCCACCCAGCCCATCCCTGGGACTGTCCCAGGCCAGGCTGGAGCAACCCGGGATA